ATAAAATTATCATTACTTAGGTTTTTAAATAACCTATTGACTTAAAAGTGGTCCAAGTTATTCAGGTTTTTAACCAAAAAAGTCAAATATGATACTATTCGAATCAAGTTTATTCTTTCAGACTCTATAAGCTACGGCTTGACATTGATAAGATATACATAGGATTCAGACCTCCTGACAGAGTGACAGCTGTATGCAGAAATGAATCGTATCATCCACTTTTGCAAATAGATAGAGAAACTCCTTCTCACTCCCAAATCTCCAACCTAAACCTTCAAGACAGCAACCACCTCCTCCCTAGAAAAATGTCAATCCAAGGGACCTACCACCAAAGTGAAGGACGGAAGACTATTGTTTACAATCTTTTTTAGTTTTGACCCCAAAAAACAGAATAGTTATTGACATTAAAAAAAAAATGCTTTTGACACCAACATGAGAGGCAAACTTGAGGAACTGCAACTTCTTTATGTTTCAATAGTCGTTACTTAAACAAAACAACTGAGACGATACACCCCAACCAACCAGAGAAACAATAGAGCTTCTCTAGCTTCAAACCAAATCTTCTGATAAATTTTGGTTCTAGTAACTGGAATTTTTATTTGGAAAAATGGTTCTAGTTTCAGGATAACTTAGTAAACGATCTTATGGTTTGATTCTTCGCAAAAAAACAATGAACTCCATCACAAGCATTAAGGACAGATAAAGACACATTGGTATCTCAAACCAGCAGCCCATTACCTGTCAGGCGTAATTGTCTTTCTGTGCTCCAGAAACCGCCTATGACCCTCAACTGCTCTTGCCATATTCCCTGAATGAGAAGAAATGAACACATCACTCTCCACAGAAATGATATAATCAATAGCAGCAGCTTGAGTAGCATGATGGGAAAAAGCTCCTAATTCATCTTGGGTAGCCAGCGTTTCCTGCCAACAAAGAATTAGTTAATGACGGAATCCAAGATAACTTTTCTGCAAATGTCCTAAAAATGCAGGGGTCAATTACCAAGGAAAGGCATGTAATTTTAGCGCATACCTTAAAAATCACATTAGGAAATCGCAAAGTCAGCTCAGACAGTCGCTCAGCACCACCATAAATTTCTCCAGCAGCAATATAAATTAATGTTGACAGAGGATAACCAAGAGCCTTAATAAAGATCCCAACCTCCCTGGGTGTAAGTGGACAAAGGCCTGCATTCCTCTGCTCTGTGGAGTTTATTTTCTTTATTTTCCAGTGGTGTGTGTTCTCCCTGACAATTTTGGGCAGAGAAGCATCAGTTAGTTATGTAAAAAAAACATGGGAGGCTGTTAAATCTTCCATGTAATAGCGGTGGGGGATACGCCACAAACATCAGTTGACAAGAAATTTTTCTATTCAGTTTTGTATCCCTCCAAACCTAATCAAGTTCTACAAATCGGTTCATGTAGATTATGTCTATTACGTTGCTTTTTGTAGATGACTGCTTATTAGGCAGCAATTAGGGAAAGCCTATATTTTGTCTGTCCTTGTCTTGCAACTAAAGCTCCATTCACTACGAACCACAAGTGCTTCTAAGCATTTATCGCAGTAGATTTTGACTTTGAAGCATACGCTACATATACTTTTGGTGTTACACAAATATAAATATCAGTACCTCATAATTCTCAACTCCTCAGATTCTGCATCAGAAAGACCATAGGTACACCCAGTAAAAGCAAGCATGTCCTTCTCATATCTAAGATGAAGAGCAATGTACTGACCCCCACGTGACCTCAGCCGCTCCACTAGTCTCTGTGGTGTCACTGCCATGAAGTCAGAACCTAATTTAAAACATGCCCCATAATGTGCCTCTTGAAATCATTCTAAACGAAACACTGAAAACATGGAAAGCTCTTGCAAATATTAGAAGTTCTTTTGATGGCAAAGTAGATGTAGAAATTCACCTTGCCCAAATGTTCAATAGGAGGAGAGAAATGTAAAGCATGGTATAGAGCACGACATCGGAGCCTTTGAATGTCAAGAGGCAGATCATTATTTGCAAGCCGAGAATCTGATTTTGCAACATGAATCACCTGAATATCATGACTAGACAAGTCAAATTCCATTATACTTTCGGAAAACACCATCCAGATGCTTTACACTGGTTTGCTTAACTCAAGATCAAATTTTTTTCCTCTCCAAAGTTCAGAATATGGAAACAGAATTGCTCATCCAAGTACCGCAAAAAAACAATTGCTATAAATAATTAAAAAGGCCTACCTGATATTCCCTCCACAAATGTGTCATATTCTCATAATAGCTCATCCCTGACCAGGAACCAAAGTGTTTGCGGGCTCGAGGTGCAGATTCCAGCTGTTTAGGAAGTTCCTTCACAATTCTTACATCCTGACGCAAGCTTCTCATGAAATAGAGCTCATCAAATATGTCCCCAAACACACTGATCAAGAAAACTAAAATATGGTAAGAAACCTCAGAGCATAAACAAAGAAGAGCTTTTACAAAGGATTGCCAAAGAGACCTTGAATCCTGCCAAAATGAACGTTTATCCAGATTGGGAATCACCAGGGTTGCATTCATAAGGCGTGCCACAGCCACCATATCAGCAATCTAGGAACGAGTATTTTATTACAACAATGAAAAGAAAAAGAAAAAGAAAAAAGGCAAACAAATACAACATAGGTAAGAAAGCAATTTTCCCAATTTAATGATTAGGTTATGAATCTTATGATTCAGTACAGTTCAAACTTCACTGATTGGAAGTTTGCTTCATTTACATCAAAATCAATAACAAGAAAAGGTACAGGAGTAAATCTGCAACCGAGTAAAAGCATTGCTTAAATGTGTGGATATTCAACAACATTGCTATATCACTATATGTGCATATATGGACATTCAAATATATAGGCCAGAATCAGGTATACATCATTACATAAAATGCATGTAAACTCACACATGTATACTTCAAATACGCATAAACTAGAATTTAAGTTTTCAAGCATGTATCAACTAGCACACGTTTGGGTAAATTGCATTCTTTTTCTAGTTGAAATACTACAAGTAATTTCTTTCCAGAAGGATTAAAACCTAATTCTAATAATTTATTGCCAGAATCTTACTTTGGCAAATCAATTCAATGAAGCCGCTGTACAAACTTATACAAATCGAAAGAGAAAAAAGCCAAAGTAACTTACACCAGTACGCATTTGATTTAGCCCTCCATTACTCTTTACAGTCAAATATCTGTTAGATTCCTGAGCAACTGACCATATATGAAAATACAGAACCAAGTTAGTGAGTATATTATTACTCTTTGATAAGTAGTCAAGGAAATATCCCATTAGCAAACATTGATACGATAGCGATCAAGATCAATAACTTCAGTAGCAATTAAGAATTTCTGTTATAATAATCCCACTATTACTTTCTTCAAGAAAAGCAAGAATGGCTGCAAAACATTTAACCTTTGTATCTAGCAGTAGGCTTGACACAAGGACGCAGGTCACGGCTGAACGTTGAAGCCCGTAATTGCTCATCAACAAAGTGCACAGGACTCCTTATCTAAAGATAGAAGCAATGTCAGATTACTCAAACAAAACAGTTGATTGTTCTTCAGTATCATTTTAATCTCAATCTAGAGCACAAGTAACAGATATTTTATAGGTACATTCATCAACTTTTTTATCCCACCTAAATTTCCAACTTCAATAAACATCTTCTTTCATACAACCATTTCTCTCTCCATAACATAGACAATCTACACAGATTTACAGCAAATTGATCAAACTTCATCACATCTAATCATCTCCCAAAACCCCAATAAAAATAATAATGATAAATGAAACAAAATCAACATTCATACATAGAATCACAAGGCAAAACAACCCCAGAAAGGCAGAAATTTGTAATTACAAAAAAAAAAAAAAAAAAACTCAAGAACACAGAACAATATCAAATTAATTGAAATTGGGGATTACCCATGTAATAAGAATCAATTTTACCTGCTCAGACTGATGATGAGGGTTAGAATTAGACTGAAAATCATTATAAAAAAAGTGGGTTTTGTTCATCTTCTAAAACATCCTTAGAATATAGGAGAAAAAAAAAAATGGATATAGCAAAAAGAAGGATTATATAGAGAGTGCGAGTTAACAAAGATGATTTCTTGGATGAAACTCTGACATTCCGCATCTTCACTGAGCTAAGTGACAGAAGATTTGGGTTTGATTTCTTTGATTTAGCGCGGCTGATTTGCATGAATTTGCTCTTTTTTTTTTTTTTTTTTTTTTTTTGGCCGACAATGTTTTCTTAAAGAGGGCAAAGAACGTTTTTGTTACTCGAATACTCGGTACTCCGTAGTTTCTTTTTAAAATTTCTCGTAGATGCTAAAGGTGAGCGTCTCAAGCCGAGTTTTTGTAGGGCATGCTATGTTGCTAACCTGCTAGCCTGAACTTGTGTTGTGATAATTTTTTTTGTTGATTGAATCATTACTCCGTATTCTATGAATTCCCAATTCCCACCAATCAATTTTCAATCCTAATCCAATTGTATAATCCTCAAACTCTAATTCCCACACATCAAATTTTTATACTCTGTATTATGATTGACCATAGATTTATACTATTTCAATAATATATATATAAATTTCAATAACTTTTAATTTCAAAAGTCGAACTTGGGTCGAGAATTATCTAAACACGGAATAGTCTATAAAAGGAAAGATTTTTATCTAAGATGGAATACTAGAATTGTTTCTTGGCAAATTTTTGTATGTGGCTGGTCACACCGTGTGGCGGGGGTTACTCGAGTTACTTGGTCAGGGTTTACTTGGGGGGTTCAGTTAGGGGTTACTTGAGAGGTTACTCGGTTAAGAGTTATTCAGCGGATTACTCGTTCAGGGATTACTCGGTTAAGCTAGCTCGAGTAATCTCTAACTGAATAACTCAAGTAATTCGATCACGTGAAGTGGAGCCACACAAAAAAATCCCCCACACCCTGACACCCTCTTCCCCTTCAAAATTCAAAAGACAATATATACTACTAAGGCAACGGGTTCGAGGACCAATACATGAAAATGGGGTTTGATTTGGAAGAATTTCAACCCATTTTCGGCGAAGCAAAACCAGAGTTTGTAACTTCTGCTACCTCTAATGGCGATGGAGTTACGGCGTTGAACCCATTTTTGTTCAGGGTTTTTGCAGTTGACTCCTCTCACCTCGCTTTTCATGTCACTGATTTTCGTTCCTACACTTGGGAGGCTCTTCGCTCTGTTCACCAACTCGATGACATGGTATAAATTCTTTTTCTTCCTTATTTTCAGAAATTTAGCTGCAAAAAATCCAAATTTGTGGAATTTTTCTGGGTACTTTTAACTTTTTTTTTTTTTTTTTTTTTTTATTTTTTTTATTTTTTATAATCAAACCCCAAAAAGTAAAAAAACCTACTGTGATGAGATGGGGTTTAAGAAATGGGTTCTAATATCATGTCCTTGATCGATGTATGTGAAATTTGGCATTTTGGGGGCTTTTTTCAGAATTTCATATACATGTTAATACTTGTGGACTTGTGGTAGTTTTCTGGGTAATTTTATAGCTATTTTTTGGATGAAACCCTAAAAAACCCTGTTGTGATGAGGTGGATTCAAGAAATGGGTTCTATAATCATGTCCATTGATCATTGTATGTATAGTTGACAATTTTGGGGGCGTTTTTCAGAATTCCATATGCCTGTATATTTTTAATGTTGTTCAAATGCTATAATTAAAACACTGAAGTATAAGTATCGCATTGTTCCATTTAGTTTGTTGCAGTGTTGAATTAACCCTCTTAACTTATAATTGTAGCAAGTTATATCATTTGTTGTAAGGCAAATTGGTTCCAAAATGTTTATTTTGGTATTAATTTCACCAGATATCGGGCGAATTATTTATTTAGTGAATTAAGGGTTTTATATGTATTTAGTATACTGTTAGGGCTAGAAAATTGGCAAATAAAATGTTTTGGTGGTACTTCAATATCTTACCATTGAGTATGTGAGCCATAGTTTAGAAAGACATATTATGAGATGGACATTGATGAATCAAGAAAACAAGTCTATAAAGATATACTACCTCTGTCTCTTATTATTTGCAATTTTGGAGGGTTGCATGGACTCCTAGGCAAAATTTATTTGTGGGTGTTAAATGAAGAGAGAAAGATAGTGATGCATGTGATGAGGAGAGAGATAGAAAGAAATGACAACTTTGGGAGAGAAAACATGTGTTGCAAATAATAGGATACGTTCATTGTATTAAATGTTGCAAATAATATGATCCTTAGAAGGGAAGCCTTGGTTAATGGGTTGTTTTCGGTGAATATTAAGGAAGCAGTTTGGTATGACTAAATATTTGAGGTGGTAATTTGCCACTATTGTTTATTCTTGTGTTTCTTGCAGGTTTCACTGTTATTGGTAGTACTTTGGTTCAATATTCCACTTGCACATATTAGGGCAGTTATAGGGATAATAAATCCTTAAAACTTTGTCGTATTCATTTTAGATCTTCTCTCATTCCTAATCTTTACGACCTTTCGTCCTGGTCCGAGAGTAGAAAAGTTTATAGTATATTATTTGAATATAGCATGTGGATAGAGGATTTTTTATAGTTGCAGTTCTGATTCCTCCAGATAGTGTGAGATTTGGCATATGAGTACATGGATTAAAGCTTAATGCCCTTCATGATATTTTTACTTTTTAATTATTCATGTTAACTTGGTTTATCTTTGTGCAGAGAGATAGCATAGGCATCGGTGGTTCCTGCTCTGACTTTATGAATTATGTAATTGCTTCTTTTACATCAAAAGATGTGAAGCTTATTATGGATTGGCAGCCTAAATTAAGTGGTATTTTTTTTTTTACCTAAAAAAACAATCTGTTTCAGCATGGCTCCTTTATTTTATTTTTTCCTTTTGTTATAAAGAAACACTCAGTGAGTTGCTGAAGCACTAACTTATCTGTTGAACTGCCCATAATAATGATGTTTTAAATTAAAAAAATTCCTTCTGCTTTCTGTTCCTTTGATCCTTTTACAAGCCTACCACTTTCTCCTTCGTAAATGTTTTTTGAATTGTTCTCTTGATTATATTTTTTTTTGTCGAGTTTTTGTGGATTGTGCCTTACCAACTTTCTTGGGCTCTGAACTTATGATGCTGACAAGAAGTCAATAACTTGATGTCTTTGTTATGTCAATAGCATTTTTCCATGATGTTTCTATTTTTCATAAGATTGTTGTCAGCTAGCTTGATTTTTTCCCCAGAATTGACCGATTTTTCTTACTATGTGATTTATGATGATATATCTATGTGTGATCATCATTAAAAAAAATAAAAAAAATCTATGTGTGATCCGGCATCTGTTTCATGCTCCATATCTGCTTATAACTTTTGATCTTGACTCAAGTTGCAAAAATCTAATATATTGTCAATTTTTACTTTGTTGTAGGGGTTACATCTGCAAAATTGATTGCTCGTAAAACTAAAGGAATGCCCTTAATATCTATTTCACTTACTAAGCTTGGACCTTCTTCTGCAAGTGGAGCTGTGGCAAATATGTCATTGGAGCTCTACAGGGCATACAATATCCTGCAAGAATCTTTTGTAAAAGGTTTTTCCTGCTTCCATTTGCTATACTTCCTTTTCTAGTCTACTTGCTAGTCTACTTCACTTATTTTGGCATGATGACCAATATAGGAAAGGTATTAACTTAGAATACTTCGGCAGATTGAAGTGCCATTTACAACATTATTACATGTACTGACATTGACTAAAAGTTATTAATATTTTAGACACTTAACCCAGCCTTTGTCACAATAAGAAGCTCATTATAATGTGACTGTTAATACATCTCAGAATATAAACCTGAGGAATCATACTTCAGTTCTAGCCTTTGGGTGAACTTCGCATTGGAATCAAAGATAAACTTGTGATGCTAAAATTCTGAATCAAAGTGAGGAGAAAGAAATTTTCTCCCGAAATTTGCAACGTCTAATCAGTAAAGAAAAGACAGACAAATAGTCATGAACATTTTTTTTTTGTGTGTATTAGATGCCTGACAAAGCTGCTTGAAGCTAGTTGGTGTTGGCCGGCTTGGCCCCATACCTGTAGTATGCAGGTTGAATGAGCATTGTTTTCGTCTATTCTGAGCTGAGTTAAAATCTGCATTGAGAAATTGTTTTCTCTACTGTAAGTTGTATTCTACGCTTGTAAAGCTATGAATTCAAATAACTTCTAAATAACATCTAAATGAACCACAGAGCCTCAACCCCCCCCCCCCCCCACACGAACAAAGAATCTTATAGGATTGGTGACATATTATCCATGAAAAAATGGTATTATCTGTGTATATAGTGAGATTTCATCTTCCGTTTCTCTTTCTATCTTTGCAAGAGGAAGTATCTCTTGCATCAAGTTTTTAAATGACTTTCTTTGTCATTTTGATTCCAATTTCCCATAAGTGTCTTTCTCGAGCAAAGCTGGGAGATAACTTTGTGCCTTTGTGAAACTTCACCTCTGCTGTAATTGGACTATTGGAGATAGCAGATAGGTAATTCTATGTAGACCCTAAATTAAAGCACGTAGACAAGTAGTACCGAACTACGAAAATGAAGTATATAATAAAGATGGCATGTTTTATCCATCTCATTGGAACGGATAGGTGAAATTTTCATATTGATTTTACTTAGTATTTTGTTTTTTGGTTGAGAAGTATGCATTGCAATGCTATATTGCTATGATAATCTTGAATTTTTTTTGCCTTCATGCTTTCCTGTCAACTTCATGTCTACAATTCTGTGCAACTTTCATTAAACAGTTGGTTTGAATGTTTATCCAGAGCAAGAGCGCTGCTGTCAATTGACCCAAATGATTTCTGCAGAAAAGGTATATTAGTTTATGTCATAATATATCTTTTGCTGCATTATCCGTTTCTTAGGATTCCTGTCTAGGTCATAATATATTTTTACACTGTAATTAGATGGCATTCGTTGGTCACAATGGTCATTGCTAATTTTTGGTTTCATAGCTGCACTAAATGCTTTTTAGTCCATGTTAAAGGAAGATACCATAAATCTTGGATTTTGAGGACTGTTGATGATTATGTGTAATTTTCTTTTGCTATATTGCTTTATTTAAGTTTCAAGCGTTGCTTCTCATCCAGATATTAGTGTGCCAATTGCTTATCAAGTAGATGTGAAAGAATTAACATTTGCTTTAGTTGGTATCATATGTTGTGGGATCTGCATCAATCCTCAAGCTTCTTTCTTCTTAAATTTCTTTCTTCTTTTTTTTTTTTTTTTTTTTTTTTTTTCTTGGACCATCATTTTTTTTCTCCGTCCCTTAGGAAAAGAGCCAAGCAGTTAAGAGGAAGCTTGATATGATGCAGTCGGACCAGCAAAGGCTACAGAAAACAACAGGGAGTGGGAATGTAGTTTTTCCTATGTACTCCGACACTGCATCTGTTACTGCTGCACTGAATTCCTCAGGTATGTAATTTTAATTAACTAACATTTGTTTTTATTTTATGCCATAAAAATGTATCCTGAATCCTCTTTGTAGCCATTATTCTATGGTTAGTTGGTTACTATTCAACAGTCCTTGGAGAGGCTAGTATGATCCTTCTTTTAAAGTAAGGACATCTCTTTAAAACCACTTTGAATTTGTTTGGTGAATGTAATTTTCTTGATTATTCTATCATCTATTCTTTCATCTTGATACCTTTTTACTCCGCTAGACCAGCAAATCTTATTCCTATAATCACATTTTATCTGAATCATTATCTTCTCTAAACCAAAAATTTTTGCGAATATATTACGGAGCATTATGTTTCATTTGGAAAATTTTCTTTTCTTTTGTGAATGTAATCTTTTGTTTGATTAGCAGACTCCTCCATGCACACTTGACTAGTTTACTGGGATTTATTGTCTTCAATCATTTTCCTCTCCCAAAGAAAGAAAAAAATAGAACTGCGAGTCGTGAATACAAGGCTTTTCAGTTGTTAATTTGGCCTTCATCTTTGGCATCCTTTTTCTTTGTACTGATTAAGCAGTCTAAGGAGTTAAGTGCTTTTGGCCAACTTTCTCAGTGATTAGGCCAATTGTTGGGGTGGGTGGGGATTAAAATTAATGTTGTTTCTGTTTCTACGGAAGCCCAAAATAGCTTTGGCAAAGATGAGAATTAGAAGCTCCAAATTTGAGCTATTCAAAACAACTTTTCAGGAATGTTTTACTATTTAATGATATTTTTGCAGCAAACTATAATACCCTTGCTCAAACTTACAAATGACATTGTTTCTAATCATATAAGTTTACATTTTTGTAAATCTCATTCACAGAACTCAGTCACTCACCCCCACCACCATGGCAACGCCATTTAAGGGTTTACGCTCTTGCTCAAAGCTGGCGAATCTTTAGTACTCCGTAAATAAATTATGAGGAACACCCAAAAAAAAAAAAAAGAACCTTTAATTTGGAACCATGGAAAATCATCTATTCGGCCCTCAATTATGTCGAACAATCTTAACTTGACAAGCACTTAATAAACTGGCCCAGATCTGAAGTTAGCTGTTGTAATTGTTACTTCTGCCTTGTAAATGCTTTGAGAACAAATTTGACTTCTTGTATTCTCTTCTTCACCCCAGATAAACAGGCAGTTGCTGAAGCAAAATCTGCTAAAGTTGTTCATCGTGTTGTACCTGCATACCGCAGGTATGCTGTATCTGCTATTAGTAGCTGTTAACTTAGACCTTTTTGCTGTTTGTGCTTTACACTGCTTAAAAATTTTAAGCTATCTTAATCAATGTCTTGTACTCCCTGCAGAGCTAAAAACAGAGGAGCTGTTCTTTGTGACACTGAAGAGGAAGAAAAGAGCTAATTTTTATTTTTTTTATTTTTTATGAAGGAAGGAAGAAAAGAGCTAATTGTTGTTTGGTGAATGAGGTTTTAGAAAATAGCAGTAGTGTTTTGTAGCTAATTATTTTTGTTACCGAAGCCTGCTAACAAGAAGTTGGTCTTTTTGGGAGTTGAATGACGATGAATTTATAGTCTCGAGAAAGATTGACAACTTGCCTTTTCATAAAAAGCTGTTTCCAGAGGAACAAAAAGAAATACATTATGATGTTTAGGTTCAGGTCATATGTGTTTACTGTTAATTGCCTTTGTATATATGCTGATTGCACTTAATTCAGCTCTGTTAACAGCTTGTCTTATCAAAGAAGCGGAATGTGTATTCTTGTACTCAAAAGGGTACAAATTGCTCTCTGTATTATTTTATATTAGGACTTGGGAGAAGTTTTGTAACAATTTGTATACTTCATTCAATTCAATCTATGATGAATTCCTTATGTATTTTTTATTTCCTTTTTAAAATCATGGTATCTAGAGATAGCCATTGTAGTAGAAGGAAGGCGGAACAAATGACCTCAACAAAATTGACCATAAACCAATAAGAGCTTGAAATGCAACATCATTTGTTGTGAGAACTTTCCCTTTAACTGGAGCCCGACTCAAATTGAATTCGAATTAGTCAGATTTAAGTACGTTCTGAATTAGCCGGTGAGAACGTGAGCTACCCTTAAAAATACATAGAAAACAATTTGGAGTTGGTGCAGATATTGAAGATTCATTTATGTAAACTCTCTTGCAATTTGGAATAAGATAAAGACAATTATATTATTTTTATACACCGCTTGTATGTTAGCATCATTTTATGTACAACTTCAATCACTTTCTTCCTACATTGTTTGGAAAATTTATACAATTTAAATATTAAGGCAAAAACTTGAATAAAATGAGTGTAATGTATATAACATGCATAGTTAGTCTATTTACACGAAATCGCATATTTTTTTGACCCAATGGATTACTCCCGAAACCTCATTTTTGGGTTTCACAAATTAGTTGAGGTAGATGATTTTACAGCTGAAATTGAAGAAAAAGCAGAGGGATGAAACCACACTATTACATGATCAGAAATAATCAGTAGTTGATTAAGTCATATAAAAAAACCTGGATCATAATCACTCAATTCATCTTCTTCAAGACCTATCTCAACACAAGGACAATATCCCACTTCACTCATCTGATCCACCAGTTCATGGATAACTTCATATATATGTTCTCGAAAACTATGTGACATGTCTTTGGCAACGAATTCATGCCTGATATTCTTTACTTCAATCCAACTTAAACCCGCGTCTTTTCTCAATCCTTTCTCACCCATAAGCCTTCTCACATGACGAGAATCATCCCATCTTTTACCTGCTGCATAAACGTTAGACAGCATTACATATCTTGCAGCATTACTTGGCTCCAATTTAAATAGCATTTCTGCAGCCTTACGAGCAAGATCCGTGTTTCCATGGACCCGGCAAGCACCTAAGAGTGCACCCCACATTCCAACATGATCAGAAACAGCAGGAGCTCTCTCAATAAGCTCTACTGCATCGTTAAGTCTGTTCTTCCTTCCAAGCAAATCAATCATGATAGCACAGTGTTCTGGTCTTGGCTTCAAACCATGCTTTGTCATTAAGTTGAGAATTCTCATGCCTTCATCAACTAGACCTGTGTGGCAACAAGCGGATAACACTCCGAGAAATGTGACTTCATTAGGCTTTACTTTTGCTACAATCATCCTTTCAAACATTTCAACTGATTCTTCATTATGTCCGTTATAAGCCAACCCATTTATAATGGAGTTCCAAGAAACATCATTCTTTTCTGGCATCCTCTCGAAAACCAGCCTTGCTGATCTCATGTTTCCACACTTGCAATACATGTTAATCAAAGCGTTATAGATAAAAGAATTCATCAACGGAACTCTGGTGTTTGATCTAATGATTCGACCATGAAGTTGTTTCCCTTTCTCTATGAGTGCTAAATCAGCACAAGCACCGAACACAGCAACATATGTAAAGGCGCTAGGTGGAACCTCATCTTTCTGCATCCGATCAAAGAGATTGAGAGCTTCAATTCCTCCTCCATTTTGAGAAAAAACCCGTGATCAATGCAGTCCAAGATACTGAATTCTTTACAGGCATTTGCTGAAAAACCAGGCAAGCATCTTCCATCCTAGACGCTCTGGCATAGGCAGAAACCATCGAAGTCCATGACACAATATCTCGTTCAGGCATTCGAGCAAATATCGAGTAAGATAAATCAGGATGACCACATTTACCATAACCATCAATCAAAGCATTACATACGACAACATCATACTCTAATCCAAGCATAATCACCACACTATGAAGTTGTTGCAACATATTTTTGGAACCCAAAACAGCACAACTACTAACAGCACTGACAATTGTATACTCATCCAAGAACAACCCAAACCCAGTACACACATTTTGCATCTTCTTGAAAAAAGACAAAGAATCAGTAAAAAACCCATAATGGGCTAACCCAGAAACTACAGAATTGTAGCTGACAATATCTGGTTCAGGCAATTTATCAAGCAGTTGGTGTGCATGATCAAAAAGACCATTTTTAGAATACCCAGATATAATTGTGTTCCAAGAAAAACTATTCTTCTCAGGGAGATCATCAAAAGCTTTCTGGGCACTCTCAATGAAGTTGCATTTGGAATACAACTCAACAAGGCGGTTCGATATGAAAGAGTTGAGAATGAAGGATGTTTTTATGAAGTGAGAATGAAGAACTCTGCCAAATTGCAGGTCTTTGGTTGCAATGCAGTGAGTTAGGAATGATGCACATTGTTTAGGAGCGTTCAACATGTATAATGAATTTATTGAAGTTAAGCTATTTGGTTAATTTGGGTCATAAAATTAGCCTCTGTTTCTAGATAATACAGACAGTAGAGTTTTTTTTTTTTTTTTTTTTTTTTTTTTTTTTTTTTTTTTTTTTTTTTTGGTGTTAAAATGTGCAATTTTTGATCAATTTAGAGTTTCTTATTATTCTTTGCTACTATACAAGTCTAAATGTTAACGAGTGTATTACACCACCAAGTGTTTAGATCAACTGGTGAAGGGGATAGTATCCCTTTGTAATTAGAGCCTTAGAGGTCTTGGCAAGTGTGAGGAATGTCTTCAATGCTAAATAATTCTAAAAGCTACTCCCTCCAATTCTTCATACACAACTTTGATCATCATTGTCTAAAACTACCTTGTAAGAAGATATAATAAAAAACATACATCAAACTTAATCCATCATACTTAACCCAACAATGTTTTATATAACTACATTTGAGCCTTATATATTATTAACTAAAATAATGTGATTAACAATAGCATATGAATAGTGTAAAAGTTAACATGTTGTGATTGATTAGAAGCAAAAGAACTTTTCTAAGTCAATTAAATTTTAAAGTGTAAAAAGGTAAATAATTTTGTATTCCGAATAAGAAGGTAAAAGTTTGTTGAAAGTCAAAGTTAAGTCTATGGGATGAACACGCCCTTATACATCAGTAAAATCATATGAAATCACCTATTGATCAAGGGCTCTTCTGCCAATTTGAAAGGAGTTATAGAATCTTCAATATAAGAACATATGACGACTTAAAAAACATATGAATTTGATATATAAATAGCATATTTGCATTTATAATTTAGTGCTTCCTATTCAGTGAACATCATTGGATATATTTGATCAATTAAACTGTCATAGTTACAAGATTAACAAACAAAATTTCATTAGCCTTGTAATAGAAGCATAGTTTATTTTCAAAAGATTGCACTTCGGATGCGCTGCTGAGATACCACGAACGGAAAACCTAATCTTCCTCAGGAAACCAAAACAAAACTTGGAACAGCTTAATCATCTATCGCCTCACAAAGTCACAATTTAGCATGAATTTTGGATGACTCCACAGATCACAATACATGTACTCTAGTAGTTGAAGGCTAAGGAGGTCTACAATATTACTCTTTTAATCTTTGGTTACCACCATATGCCAATCAACTAATAATCATCTGCTTCAAGTACTCAGCTTGGTCAGGGAAATACTCCAATAGTTCATCCTTGGTCACCCAAACATAATCATCACATCCACTAACGTTAATCTTGTTCGCTGAAATTACTTGTGATTTGAAGAAGAATTTCTGCTATAAAAAATTAAAGGATAAGATCATTCATTTCTGTGTTTTAGGCATAAAATTACAACAGATGAAAATTTATTTGTGCAGTACATTGAGACACACCTTCAATGGATCTGCTTTGTCAGCTGCCTGTACAGCGATATGGCCCATGGGTGCATTTCCGACAAAATATGTGTGTGTAAGGTCACCGAGAACAGATTGTAGAGCAGACTCTGCACACTGAAATGAGCAGTGGATTATGAGGGGAAAAAAAGAGACAAAAAACAAAGACGTGAGACCACTTTCTAAAATTACCAACCTTCCGCAGCGTCTCTTCATTATCATAGACCTTTTCTGGAAAATGCCAAACAGGCTTCCCATCAGAAGAGCCATAAGAAGTTCCATGAAGGAGAAGATAGAGCCTCCGATCTAGAGCTCTTTGCAGTGACCTTAAAGGAAAAAATGGAAATAGTTTAATGCTTATTATACATAAACATATATCAAGGATTCCAGACCCACAATAACAATTCACAGAAACACATCCCCACTCTTTCGAACAGGAAGGTAAAGGTCTTATATGAAGCTTTTCACACATACAGTTGTCCACACAAAGGATGACCAAAATTAAAAAGCTAAAAAAGGAAAAATGGGAAAAGAAGTTTGGGGCACTAACAGCATACTCTGAAATCACGTGGACGAAGCAGCTATAGCAAATTTTACTTCACAGTAAGGTTATTCTTTTGATTATTTTTGGTATCCCAAGGAAGAAGATGCCGATAAAAACTAGCATGTCAAGGTACATCGAACAGTGGAGATCATTGATTTAACATGATAGCAAAAAATAGAGGACAACAGCGGCAAAAATACCATAAGATGTGAGTCAGTCTTAACTGATTAATTACAGGATATCATGTAACTGAGCAATCTTTTCAAACTATTAAACCTACTAAGATGAGTAATCAAGTAAAGTTATGCATCAAATTGCATCAAATATATGCATCAAGTATAGTAATATTCAGAAAGATGAGTAATCAAGTAAAATTCATGCATCAAATTGCAACAAAGACATTAAACCTACTAAGAGGCTCTCACTTATGACAGGATGGGGTGGGGGTCGGCTGTATGTAGCCAGCACCTGCAATAACAAAGTGGCTAAATCCCAATCACCTTTGATCCAAAAGTATTTGTTCTGCCAGCCTATCCGATTGGATCTAATGTATCAGAAACTAGTGACACAAAAATGCTATGCATAACAGAAACACCTTCTAATACCTTTTATCATTTGCTTTGTCAGCTTCAGTGATCCGTGAAGCTGGTTTGT